AGCTTCTAATCTCTTTCCCCGCAACCACACATCAGCTGCAGGGACTATCTGTTTAAAAGTAAAGGAGAGCCTGATTGAGCTGGGAACTATGATGAGGGGGGGGGGATGGGCCTTCCCGTCTGGGCCTTTTCCAGACCTGAAACAGCACTGGGAATGTAGTGTATTCAAAGCTGCCTCACAACATATCATGCATTCAAGGCAGCTTTGAATACACTACTGGGGGAAATAACTTTCCATATTCAGGTGCTCCATGTGCACTATTGTTTGCATGTAGAGCAGCCAAAAGGGGGAAATAACTCCCCCCAGCACCGTTTCTGGTTGGGAAAAGTCAGAGATAGGAACAGAGGAGCACTTCATCCTCCTACATCATAGGGCCCAGTTCAGACGACCTCCCTTCTGTTTTGGGAGCTCCCGGTCTCCACCGAAGGCAATGGTGGCCGGGGGCTGGTTTGCCGCCGCAGGGAAGACGGGACGACAACAGCGTCCCAGCACAGAGCGCTGGGACGTGGGGTGGGCGGAGCTAGCCTGGCCAGGCTCAGCTCTGCTCCCACCCCAAGCCAGTTGCTGCTTCGTGCTCATCGGAAGTGCTCCCTTGCCGGTTGCTGTTAATAAATTGTATATAGTTAATAAAGTGGCCCTTGTTTTGATCCAAACTATTGTCTGTCTCGTTACTCTGGCCAGGCTCGGCTCTGCTCCCACCCCAAGCCAGTTGCTGCTTCATGCTCACCCGCCCGCCCTGTTTTTTCTAGTGTAGGCTGAGGCTGGTCGCCCATGGGGGGCCAGGTAGGAATTTTTCGCTATTACCCACGATTGGCAATGGGGTGGTAGTGTTTTCGCCTACCTTACACTGGAGCAATGGAACAACGGGTAGGGGTGTGGCTGTTTAAATAGGTTGGTCACTTTGGCAGAATAGGGCAGAGAAGCAGAAATGGTGAGCACCTTAAGCCGTCCCGTGTTTTGGGAACTGGGGGGTCTTCAGGAACGGCCTGCGGGTTATTAAGGCCCTGGGTGGTGAATGAAGATCCCCTCTGGGGGCCTCTTGGGTAAGCTCCTCTCTGCAGGCTGTAAGGTTTCGGGGGTAGGCGCTCCCGGGAGGCTACCTGTGGCTGGGCTGCTGGTCGCAAGCCAGATTAATGGCCCAAGACCGGGGTTGGTGCCTCACCCACATATCAGACAAGGAGGCTGGTCAGCCTGACACCTGCCTTGTCTGTTCCGCTACCTAGGAAGTGCTCCCTTGCCGGTTGTTGTTAATAAATTGTATATAGTTAATAAAGTGGCCCTTGTTTTGATCCAAACTGTTGTCTGTCTCGTTATTCCGGCTGTGGGGGCAATAACCAGACAGCCCCCACAGCTGGGGGACTTGGATTTGATCCTTTAACAAATGTAACATCTAGTTTGGATCTTCAGCCTTATAGGGTTTGAGAGATTTTTGTCCCTGATTTTAATCAAAAAGTATTAAACTTTCACATACCTCTCCCATGTGAAAAGGATGGCCTTTTCAAGCAGTACAATGTCTCATATTTTGACAGTAATATTTGAAAGGAAAATACAATGCAATATTAGATGTTTATGTTTTCCATTATGAACCAGAAACCAACATTTCGGCAAGGAGTGATTTGATAATGAAATGTGTCACTAATTGAATCCCAGTGTTTAATAACACAGAACAAAATGTCACATGGGGTAGGTATAAAAATGTAAAAAGAGGAAGTCCTTTAGAATGAGAAACACTTATCAGGAATCAGTTATTTTAGTAACTGTGTTAGTAACTGCTTGCTGAAATGGAAGTTGGATAATTTGTCATTCTAAATTCTGCAGTTTTTGTGATGTAACACATTTTAAATACCCGTACTTTGATCAATTATTTGAAAAGAAGTTTTAAAAATAATGACACTCCCTTTCTCACAGTACAAGAACTTGTGGGCACTCCATGAAATTGCTGCGTGGTTGGGTTAGAACAGATAAAACGAAGTACTTCTTCACCCAAAGAGTGATTAACGCATGGAATTCACTGCCACAGAAGGTGGTGGCGGCTACAAGCATGCACAGCTTCAAGAGGGACCTGGATAAACATAAGGAACAGAGGTCCATCAGTGGCTATTAGCCACAAGATATAGATAGGAACTCACAGGCTGGGGCAGGTGATGCACTGTAATCTTGGTGCTTGGGGGGGGCAACAGTGGGAGGGCTTAGTGTCCTAGCCCCACTGCTGGACCTCCTGATGGCACCTGGTATTTTTGGCCACTGTGTGACAGAGTGTTGGACTAGATGGGCCATTGGCCTGATCCAACATTGGCTTTTCTTATGTTCTTATGACATATTGACCTGAAGTCTAAGGTATGAAAAAATCTAAAAAATCTAAAAATTCATTTCCAGAAGATTTTGCTTGGTGCAAGCCAAAAATGGACCCAGTCAGGACATTCACAGAAACCTAAAAGTTTTCCATTCCCTGACTCTTGATTATTAATAATTCCATGAAATGATTATACTTTGTCTTATGTAATTATTCTTTGTCTTACATTGACCTGTAAAAAAGGAAGCACTATGCAGAATTTGTATACAAAAGGAGCTCTCATCATTATACATTTCCACAAAGTTCCAGGTTCCTTTAAGGCAAAGGCTTTGATTCAGACATCTGCATGGGGACATATACTTCCCAGCCCTTTGGATCACAGCAGTGGCTTGCACCCCTGAACAGCTGTTCTTGAGGCTTAAACACCTTCTGGAATGGTGTGGGCTGTCACTGCAGTGATAATCTTGAAAAACTGGTACCTTTACCACTTAGGGTTGCCAGGCCCCTCCTGGCAACCGGAGGGGAGAGGGGCGACTTACTGGGAGCAGCAGGGAGGCCCATCTGATGTGCAGCGGCATGCCTACATGACTGCTGATGTGACCCAGAAGTGAGGTCATCACATCCAGGCTGTCAGAGCAATGCTCTGGTATTGGGCAAAAACTATGGTAAATTTGGCTTCTACCATAGGGTTATTGTGCAAATAACAGAGTGTCACCCCAGTGACCCAGATATGATGAGCTGCATCAATTTCCTTGCAGTGGACCTACTCTTCACACTACAGCAGGTGTCTTTTGCCACATAGTGTGATTTGAAAACCTAGGGGTATCTTAAGGAATGATGCTGCCAACATTTGAACTTCCAAAACCTGAAATATGAATGTCAGCAACATATAGAGACAGTGACGTGTAGTCATTAGAGTGCTGGACTACAATTTGCAAGACCCAGTTCAAATCCCTACTTGCCTTAAAACAGTTCAAATCCCTACTTGCCTTAAAACTTGCTGGGTGACCTTGGTCCAATCACTTTCTTTCAGGCCTCTCACAGGTCTGCTGTGAGGACAAAATGGAAGGGTGGGGAGCAACATATATTCTGCCCTGAACTCCTCAGAGGATTAGGGTAAACATATCTCCCTTATAAATAAAAGCTGAATGATGGTGGCACTTCTCTAGAACATTCCACACGCTCCGGAATTGGTTGGCGCCCTGGTGTGTCACTCAGAATCTGTCCCTATCCACTGGCTGCATTGCTTGAGTCTCGCCTCCAACATTCTAAACAGTTTGCTGTTCTTCTCCTTCCCCCATAGCCAGTCAGAACACAGAGGTTATTTGCATATGCAGCCTCATTGGCCTTTGCCTCAGAACACAGAGGTCGTTTGCATATGCAACTTGATTGGCTTTTGCCTCTAACATTCTAAACAGTTTGCTGTTTTGAGGTAAAATGTGTCCAATCTCCAGGTGAGGGCTGGAGATCACTCAGAATTACAACTGCTTTCCAGATGGCAGAGATCAGTTCCCCTGGAGAAAATGGTGGGCTCTGTATCCTTATATGCTGCTGAGGTGGCCCCCGTATGACAGCCAATGTGACGTAGCAGTCAGGGCTTCAGAGCACAGGAGAGGCTGCAGGTGTGTGGGGGTGGAAAGCTGAAGAGTGAGGGGGAAATAAAGGTAGGTTGATGATTGGCTGGGAAGTAGATAGGGTTGCCAACTCCAGGTGGGAAATTCCTGGAGATGTGAGGGATGGAGCCTGGAGAGGGTGAGGTTTCAGGAGGCGTGGGACCTCGGACAGGTACAAAGCCATAGACTCCACCCTCCAAACCAAGTATTCCCTTCTGGGGAACCATCGTTTCCAATCTCCAGGTGAGGGCTGGAGATCACTCAAACTTACAACTGTTCTTTAGGTAGCAGAGATCAGTTCCTCTGGAGAAAATGGTGGACTCAGTGTCATTATACCCTGCTGAGGTCACCACAGCAAATTGACACTGAGTGTCCAAGGCCGTGGCACCCACCCAGAGCCTCTTTCTAGAAGTCGTTGTATTTATTTCTACAACCGGCCTTTTTCCTAGTACTGAATAAATATTGTTCATCTTAAAAATGAAGGTAAGCATACAAGTTCTAGATCTTCTCCCGCTCCAATTTTCATCTAGGACTGAAAAGAACTCCTCTCCCCCATTCCCACCTACTTGTCTTTGGAATGCTGCTGCTCCTTCACCAGAGATAATGCCATGTAAGAAAGGAGGGAAGCCTGTCTTCCCTTTTCTGTTTGAGAAGCTGTGATGGGGCTGGCTGCTGCAGGATGGGAAGGTAATAAAGAAATGACTTCTCCTGCTCATCCACTTTGGTGATCTGAATATTGCTGCACTCAATGTGCAAGGGAGACCATGTTAGTGTTGCAGAACACATAACAGCTCCAGAGGGCAACTCAGGAAAACAGTGTGTGGGAGAAGGATTCAGACCCCTCTCATGCCATGGTCCTGGTCTGAATCAGGGTTCCCAAAATCTACTATTTACCATTATAACACCTACAGGATATCTGTGCTTGAATCTCTCAATTTGTCATTTAGAAAAAGTCAAGAATGTGTGTAATCCATTTTACTGCACAGGTTTGTTGACCTGTTGAGGTATTTCTCCCACTCTGCAACTATATTTTTGAGTTGTATGTACTTGAATAAAGTACTACTTAACATACTGTTTTTTCCCATTTTTCTTAGTGCAAAACATATGCCTGTGTGCTGGAGAGTCATCTTATGGGGCTTACTATTGACTTTGGAATGGGCTTTGTATGCTTCGATGCTGCAACAAAGGTAAAGCCATGAGAAGTGAACCCTTTGTGGTATGGGTACGTTAGTTCAAATAGTTCAAAGTATTACATTTTTCAGTTGAAAATTAAATAATCTTTTGAAGTCCATTACTGCAGCTTTTCTTCCTTTATCAAATACTCCCTATGCATTTGTTAAAATTCCTGTATTTTTATACCTCGAGGCAGAGGACAGCTCATTTTCTACACTCCTCTACTTTCTTCCTCCTTGATTCCCTAGTTCTCCACATGCAGCTGCTGACCTTCAGTCAGTTACAAGTTATTTCAGAGCTGTTCTCTCATGAGCAGTTCTCGAAAGAGCTCTCTCACCCCACCTACCTTACAGGCAATGCTCCCTCTAAGCTATGGAGTTTGTGAGCAAAAATTCTACATTGTGAGCTACTGGCATTAAAGTTGTGAGCAAGCGACTTGGCTACTGCATAAATTTGTTTGCTATGGAGCCATCCTTCCTGAGCTAAGACAAAAATGTGTGAGCTGGAGGCTAAAAAGCTGCAAGCTAGCTCACAGTAACTCAGCTTAGAAGGAACACTGCTCACAGGATGTCTGCTGTGGAAGGGAAAGGGGATTGTATACAGGAAGCAAGGAGGAACAGTTTAAGGCAAAGACCTTTCCTGTGTGGGGTGCATTGTCCTTGCACTGGCAGGTGGAGCAGCAGAATCTCACTTTTGGTGCTTGTGTCTTGAGCTGGAGTATCTGTAGTATTAGGTGTATGTTATAGTCATGTTTGTTCTTTTCCTGGGCTTTTCCCATCATTTTGTGAATATCAGTGGGCTGCAGGGAAGAGACAGGAAAGTTCTGTTCCACAGAGGAGAACTTTAGTCTGGATCCAGCCCAGTGTGGTATATTGGTTTGCGTGTTAGACTAGGATCCGGGATAGCCATATTCAAATTCCTGCTCTGCCATGAAGGTTGCTGGGTCACCTTAGCCCAGGCATTGTCTCTCTGCCTAACCTATGTCATAGTATTGTTGTGAGAATAAAATATGACTTATGGTGACCCTGTGAATTAATGACCCCATAGCGCCCTATAAATTACAACCTTGCTTGGGTCTTGCAAACTGATGGCCGTGGCTTCCTTTATTTAGTCAGTCCATCTCAGGTTGGGTCTTTGTCTTTTTCTTCTGCCTCCAACTTTTCAGCATTATTGTCTTTTCCAGTGACTCTTGTCTTCTCATAATGTGATCAAAGTCACAGTCAATTGAGCTTCAAGGGAGAGTTCAGGCTTGATTTGTTCTAGAACCCAAAACTCTCCTCCAACACCACATTTCAAATGAATCAACTCTCTTTCTGTCAGCTTTTTTTCATTGTCCAGCTTTCACTCCCATACATAGTAATGGAGAATACTGTAGTATGAATTATTTTGTTCTTGGTTTCCAGCAGCACATCCTTACACTTAAAGATCTTTTCCAGCTCCTTCATGGCTGCCCTTTCCCAGTCTCAATACCCTCTGATTTCTTGGTTGCAGTCACCCTTCTGGTTGATGATTGAGCCAAGGAATAGAAAATCTTAAAATAATTTCAATTTCTTCAACATCAGCCTTAAAGCTATATAATTCCTCAGTAGTCATTACTTTTGTCTTCTTGGTGTTCAACTGTAATCTTTTGGCATGTTCCACTTTAACTTGGTTGTTGTTGTTGTCATCAAGTCACAGGTGATTTATGGCAATCCCATGAGGTTTTTGAGTCAAGAGATGTTCAGAGGTAGTTTGCCATTGCCTGCCTCTGTGTCATGACCATGGTATTCCTTGGTGGTCTTCCATCCAAATACTAGCCAGGACCAACCCTGCTTAGCTTCTGAGATCTGACGAGATTGGGCTCCCCTAGGCTATCCAGATCAAGGCTTTAACCCAGTAGTTACAGTAAATGCTGCTAAGGATATATATCAGATTCAATAAGTTACTTGGAAATCATGTTCTCAGTTCCCTTCATAGCTATTTACATATTTTAATGGTACACATTAGTTATTACATCTGTAATTAATCACTGTGGTCAACAAATTTCCAGTGTCTTCAAATAACTACAGAACCAGAGGTCATTTCGGGGGGATCACAGTTCCCCCGGGTGAGGTACGGGGGGCGTGGCACATAACGAAGCCCCGCCCCCTGCTTCCGGCCACCCCGCTTCCAGCCCTCATTCAGCCAGGAGGAGGCAGGAGAAGAGGGAGGGTAAGTTGCTTCCTCCCCGCCTCTCCCCACCCCTGCCTGCCTGGGGCCAGGGAGGGCCTTGGCGGGGCTTCCTCGCACTCCCGCTGGCCTTGCAGGTCCACCGCCGGGCCCCTGATGTCAGGGGGTGTGGCATATGCTAATGAGTTATGCTAATGAGTTCCCCTAGCTCTTTTTCTACGAAACGACCCCTGTACGGAACTAATCAATTCCAGTGTCATTAAAGTTTATTAAATTTCAATAATGCTATAGCTCATTTTTAAAAATCTTCAAATGGCAATGGATTTATCTAACAACTTTAACTTTGTTGGCAACATTTTTTAAACCATGTTTAATTCAGTCTGTGCTAATCATTCCAGTGCAGAGACAACTCACTATAAATTAGCCTTACTTTCTCAATGTCTTTCTGAAAGCTCATCTTTAGGAACCACAGTCAAGGATTGTGGCCTCCAGTCATTGGATCTTACATCCTTGCCTTGACATTCAAGAGTGCCCCCAAATTACAGATCTGTTCCTTCAAGTAGAGGGTAAGCCCATCAAGAACAGGTGACACCCTAAATCCTGGGTCAGACCTTCCACTCACTAATAGCACTTCTGTCTTGTTGGGATTAAGCTTCAACACAGGGGACAAGATGGAACATTGCAGGCCCCCACATTCAACTGAGAAATGATACTGTAATTCATTCATTTGTTTATTCATTTGTTTGCTTGTTCGTTCATTCATTAATTTACAAAATCTATATCCTGCATTTCTGCCATTAAAACCAGAGCTAAAATATAAACACAGAAACAGAAATTAAGAATTTATCCTGCCTTTTTCTACCTTAAGCAGCTTACAATCACTCTCCATTCCCCTTCCCACAGCAGGCACCCTGTGAGGTAGGTTGGCATAAGAAACTTCTGAGAGAACTGCAACTGGCCCAAAGTCACCCAGTGGGCTTCATGTGAAGGACTGGAAAATCAAGCTCAGTTCTCCAGGTTAGAGTCCACTGCTCTTAACCACTGCACCATGCTGGCTCTCATTGGGAAGGAAGGAATGCCAAATAAAACAAAAAGTCTTCACCCACTGACAGAAAATGGTAACAGAAAGAGACAGATGAGTCTTCCTAAGGGAGAGAGATTCAGATTTTGGTGCCAAAACTGAGAAGGCCTCTAAACTACAGGCCTGTTCCTTCAAGTAGAGTGTGATCCCATCAAGAACAGGTGACACCCTAAATCAGAGGTGTCAAACTCATTTGTTATGAGGGCCAGATCTAACATAAATGTCACTTTGTTGGACTGGGCCACGCATGCTATAAAATATAACACGAGGTGCCAGGCATATAAACTTTATAAATATGATTTCAGATGCCAAACGGCAATAGCAGGTATGATTGGATTAGGTGTGAGATATCAGCATTGGTAATGAGACAGGAAACCCAGGTCTCAATACCATCCAGGAGGATTCGGTCCAGGAGGATGGACATAAGTCTGACATTAGAAACCACAACATTCAGTTGCTGATCTAAGAGTAGCAGTGCTCTTACAAAGGAATTTCAAAAGGAGATTAGAAAGAGAGACTGCTGAATTGCAATTGATAATGAAACTCAAGACAATGCATCCTCCTGGACTGAACCGAGATGTAGTTTTCCTGTCCCATTGCCAATGTGTGCCATTATCATTTGGCATCTGAAATCACTCCACTCTCCAGGATATAAGGACCACTTCAAGTGTTCTAATTCCTAACCAGGGTCTTTATGAAAGAAAATAAATGCAGATATGAACAGAGAAATCCAATCATTAAAAAAACCCCACACAATGTTTTAGAATAATTCAAAATAATTTCCTCAATGAACATTGTTCTTATCAGAAGAATCCACCCACCCTCCCTCCCTCCCTCCCTCCCTCCTTCCAAAGTTGTGTTCTTGCACACAAAATCTTATACCTGGAATAAAACACTGTTGGTCTTAAAGCTGGGACTCCAATTTTGTTTTCTCTCTCTCTCTCTCTTTCTTCCTCCTCCCTTCCCCTCCAAAAGAGGAGAAAGCAGAAACTCTGTGTGTGTGAGAGAGAGGGAAGAGAGGGAGGGAGGGAGGGAGGGACGGGGAGGTAGGCAGGTTTCTATTTGTATCTCTCCAGCATGAAGCAGCCATGAGGCTCTCGCTATCTGTGGGGGGGGGAGGCAAGAGGCAGGAAGCAAAAAGCCACTGAGAGAGCTGGGGGAAAAGCAAGCTAGGGTGTGGCTGCAGGAGCAGCATTGGAAAAGGAAGCAGGGGAAGGAAATTGTTTGGGGGCCGGTTTTGAACCTTGTGCAGGCTGGATGCAGCCCACGGGCCACACGTTTGACACCCCTGACCTAAATCCTTGGTCAGATCTTCCACTCACCAATAGCACTTCTGTCTTGTCAGGACAGGGGGCAAGATGGAACCTTACAGGGCCCCACAGACCAAATGCCAAGGGGCTGAGCAGCAGTTCCCCAGAACCACTTTCTGCAACCTGTCCTCCAAGTAGGACTAGATCTACTGTAAAATGGTACCTCTCAGTACCAGCCTGGAAAGGAGGTCCAAAAGGATACCATGATCAATAATATTGAAAGCTGCTGAGAGGCCCAGGAAAATCAACACAGTAGTACTTCCTCTGTCCATCTCCTGACACGAGTCAACTTCAAGGGCAACCAAGGCTGTTTCAGTGACATAACCAGGCCTAAAACCAGATCAGAAAGGATCCACCCACATTATATTCACCTTGAAATATCCCTTCATCCCATATGTCAACATACCATTGTTAATTGTGCTTCCTGGCTGGCATGCATATAATAGCCCATTTCTTGTATCTCTCACTGTTTTAA